CTTTGTCCCTTCCTTTATCCTGCTATCTGGAAACCAGGGTGTAATAGCTGGACTCCAGCCACCACGTTGATCCACAATGAGAAGACCTCACCCTAGGACCTGCAGGGTCCTGGGTCCAAGGACTTCCTGGAACAGAGCTTCCACACCAGCACTGGTTCGCCAATCTCTAGGCTTTAGCACAAGAAATGAAATGTCGTCTTGCTCAAGCCACTGCTACACACAGATAAACTGAATCCTAACCATCCTTTCTCATCGAAGCAGTCTGCAGTAAAACAGACGGTCCACCAGCTGTGAACTCGAGAGCCAGCTCTGCTGCCTGCCAGCAGTGTTATCTAGTCAAGCCCTTTTACCTCTTTTTTTCCAACAATAAAATGGGAGTAGAGTCCCTGACTCCCAGAACTGTTCTAAGGACCAGTGGTAACACACAACAAGGGTCATACCTGTCAGGCTTACTGGCCCGCACAGCCCAGAAAGTGTACTCTATTTGGCCTGAGCAATCAGGACACTTCACAATCAAAACAAACAGACGTACACAAAGGGCTTTTCGGCTTTTCTTAAGCTCTGGCAGATCTGCCAGCCCTGTCTGGGGCGGAGTCCCAGCGTCCTCCTCCTCCTCCTGCTGCTTCATTCATTCACCCCAGGGGTCAGCAATCTTTTACTGTCAAGGGCCAGTAACTAAGTATTTTAGCTTTTGCAGGACTCTATGCTCTAGAATATTCTTTCTTTGGGTTTTTTTTTTCTTTGTCACTAACCCTTCAGAAATGTATAATACTCCCTTTGCTCTCATGGGTTAAAAAATTAGCCGTAGGCTCCACCTGGCCTACAGGCCATCGCCTGCCCACAGGCCTTTATTTATACTATTATCCTTTCCCCAGCGCTCCCACTGTCAAGCATTTGCATCTGTCACCACAAGTGTAATAACCAGGGCCAGGCACACAGTAAGTGCTCAATAAATGGCAGCAGCCCGCAGTGACTGGCAGCACCACTGAAACATGAATGCTTTTGATGTGACTAACCTTCTGGGTTGTCATCCCCGCTTGACACTGAATGTCCTACAGGCTGGGCACAGGACGGGCTCTTCCAAGCCCTCCTGCCGCCCCCGCAGCTGTCGGGGCGGGGGTACTGGGAGCGGGACTGAAGGGGGTTGCGGGGTGCCTGCCTCTGCAGCAGGCTGCCATTCACCACCTTGCTTTTACAGAGGGTTTTTCTCTGGGGTTTCCGTCCCCAGGCAGGGCCCCCCCGAACTGAAATTTATCCCCCGTCAGAGCCAGCCTTGCTGAGCATCCCTCCCGGCCAGCGGGGCGGGGAGAGGACAGTGAACCAAGAAAGAAAAGCAGCACAGTCATCTCCAGAAAGGCCGCCGTGGGGCTGAGGAACTGAGAGTCTGTTCTGCTCGCCGCCCCACAACGGGCTTCCCCAAGAGCTGCCTCCCTGCAAGGGGAGGGCAGCCCGCGTCCAGGAACACCAGAGGCTGTGCCAAAGCTTCCTCAAGGCCCGGGAAGCCGGCACCTCTGCCCAGAGAAAATGGCCTGGTTTTGGTGGCTGCCATATAGCCAAGGCCATGGACACGGGCCAGGGGGACATCAAGTGGCAAGGAGTGGGGAGAGTTACCTCCCTGCAGGGTGACTGGGACGGGCCCTCCGCAGCTGTTGTCTCTTCCACACGGAGGGTGCAGACGTCCAGGAACTGGCCTCACGTCCTGCCATCCACACCCATCTCCCAGCCCTGCCGCCTGAGACAGAAGTTGCAGCCCAGGGGTCCCTCTCCCCTCTGCTGGGGGCACGAGGCGGCTGGGCAGCCCTGCAGTGTAAGGGATTCCCTCCTAGAAAAGCCAGCTCTTCATTCCACACCATCCACAGCCAGATCTACCCTTTACAGCCCAACTCCTTGCTCCACACCCCAACGGAGCACTTCTCCCACATTCCGGGTCCCCAGTAGCATTATTCCCGTCGCAGATGTGCAACCGAGGCTGAGCACAGGTAAGTGTCACTGCAGGTAAGGAAACAGGTGTTGCTGCAGGTGAAATGACTGGTTTGAGGCATCATAGCTGGTGACACACATCAGTCAGACTCCATGTTCAGTACCCTCACCAGCACCCAAGGACACCTCTGGCTCACCTCTCACATGTGAGGCACTGGGAGATCCGTGCAACTGTCTTGGCCGACCCCTCACCCCACCCCGACACAGAGTCGAATCCCGAGAGAGTCTGGAATCACAGGCAGCTCGCGGGACCCCGCCTCATGAGGGACAGTGAGCAGAACAGGGCTCCTGATGCCTTCTCACCTGGCCAAGGCATTCAGTTCCCAGGAGGGTCCAGGTTGGAAAATGTTGAGGCCAGGGAAGGAAGCTCATCCCAAGAGAAGGCCTAAAGCTCCTCCCAGCAGTGTGGTGCCCCCTCAGTGCCCCTCGCCCGCCCAGAGGTCACATCCCCACACGTCCCCCCAGGGGCTAGACCATCTCTGACTTCTCCGGGGAGACTGTCGGCCAGCCTTCCATGCCCAGCATGCTGGGCCTGCTCTCAGATCCAAGACTTTGCACTCCCCCGGCAGGCTTCAGAGCAGTCCCTCCTGGGGTGCCCGCATTCTTCGGCGGGCTGGGGACCTATGGCTGCCTTGCCCGCCCCGAGCAGTCACCTGGCCAACTCTGAGGCCATCACCCCACCTGTCATGGGAGCAGGTGCTGCCTCCAAAGAAGTGTTCGTTTATCGAGCAAACATGCTGTGCCACACAGTCACACAGTTGGTGTCATCACCAACTGCCACTGAGGAAACTGAGGCCCAGAGACCCACAACTACCCGCAAGACACCTGTCTAGCCGATGTCATCGACCCTAAAAATTACAGCTAAGCCCTAACCCCCGGAACCTGCGGCTATGACTTTATTTGGAAAAAGGAGTCTTTATAGACATAATTAAGGACCTCAAGATCATCCTGGATTTAGGGTGGGCCCCCAATCCAGTGACAGATAACCTGATAGGAAAAGACACAGAGACACAGGGGACAGCCACGTGAAGACAGTGGCAGGGACTGGATTTCTGTTGCCTCAAGTCAAGCAATGCCTGGAGACACAGGAAGCTGGAAGGGTCAAGAAAGGACTCCCCTCTAGAGCCTCTGGAGGAAGTGTGGCCCAGCCGACACCTTGACTTTGGACTTCTGCCCACAAACTGTGAGAGGATACGCTTCTGCTGTTTAAGCCACCCATTCTGTCATGGCAGCCCTGGGAAACTAACACAGCCAGGCTTGGCCAAGTCCAGAACCCACACTCTCAAGCCCACGCCACCGTTACTAGAGTGTATAGAGGGAAAAAAATTCAGACCCAAGACTTTATCATCCTAGACTGAGGATCTCAGTCTGAGAAACATGGACTTTCTCCTCTTGACTAATGCTTTAGTTAGAAACCACCTGTAAAAGAGAAGGGTCACCTTTGTAACTAATAACAATTTCGAGTATATCCACAAAACAAAGACACAAAAGAAAAAACTCTCCCAGGGAAATACGTTAAGAAGACAGGAGATTATGTGCAGAATATACGGGAAAACCCGGCACTGTCTTCCTAGTAATTCCAAAAAAAGTAAAACAGTTCTAAGAGCAAAAGAAGTTTATTTACCAAAGAAAAGACAAATCCCCTGGAACCTCTTTGAGGATCAGCCATGGGACCCTCATTTGACAAGCATTGCCCAACTTTGTTCTGTACCCAACTAATGCTTGTCAAATGAACGGCCATACTTATGATGTGGGCAGTCCTGCTGGGCTTACGTGTCTGTCCTGAGCTCCGATGCCCACCTGGGATACCCTTCTCTCTCATCTGGTCCAAGAAGACCCAGCAGAAAAGAGGTGCGATACTGGGGAGACAGACACAGCTCCATCATTTTGGGTTTTCCAAGTTGAGGGGCAGGGAGAATCCTGTGTGTGAACCCACTGCTCCACTGTCTTCCCTTCAGAAAACCCAGTTCCCAAAGTGGAAAAGAATTCACACTGGCCAAAGTCAGTAAAGGCCACCTCAGTGACTCCCCAGGGCATCAATGCAAGAAACCGGGAGAGACAAAGCTGAATGTAACATAACAACAAAACGTGAATGAGGAATAGACACGCAGAGAACGGATAAGAAAGAGTAACAAAAGAATGAAAAAGGATGGACTACAAAGGCGGGGGACCCTTGGCAAACGCGCTTGTGATTTTTTTTTTCCCACCGAAATGTCAGTTTTGAAACTAGCTTCTGAAAATGTAACCAGTTTCTCACATCCCCCAGAAGGAAGATCGGACGACAGTGGCGAGAAAGGCGGCAGTGATACCTCTCACTTCGGAGCCGGGCATCAAGAAGGGGCCCTACCCGTACACGTTTCCACGAGGTGCACATCCAGAGGCTCGCACCACCCTCGCATGGGCCCTCTCCCCAGAGAAGTTTCCCACTAGGGGGTCCGCAAAGCCAAGCCCTCCAGATGGGTGGAACGGGGTCCTCGAGGCCACCCCAAGCTGGGCACCACTTTCCAACCGTCCTTAGCAGTCCAGGGGGTCCCTGAGATGGCCTGAGGCAGCCCAGGTCCCTCCCTGCGCCAGGAGGCCACACCCGCCCCCAGACTCCCACGCCCCAGGCCCCCACCCCTCTCACCCAGCCCCCACGCCCCTGGCTTCCTCAGAGTTCTTACCTTTCACTCTCGGCCCCCCACTTCCTGCCCACCCCTCCCAATCTCAGGGCCCACACTACTCCCCCATTTCCCGCTTCCCTCCTTACTCCGGGCACCTCACCTCTGGCCACCACGCACGCCCTCTTTTCTCTCTGCCCCTTGACACCGTTCCTCCACACCCCTAACTCGGAGCCCCCCACACCTAGCTCCCTCGGCTAGGCCCCAAGGATCTCGCACCAGGCCCCCAGGGACCAGGGCCCCTCACCCTCGGGACCCTGGGCCCCTCACCGCGGCCGCGATCCTCCCGCCCCGGGCCCCCGCCCTCCCGGCCTCGTGCGCAGCCCGGCCCTCGGCCCGGTCCCGCGGCCCCGCACTCACGGCTGTAGAGGGCGATGCCCGCCGCGTCCGGGCCGGCGCGCACCTCGAGGCGCAGCGCCTGCTGTTCCGCGTGCCGCTGGATCTCGCCGTTCGCGTCGCCGATGGTGAGGAGGCGGGCGCCGGGGAACACGGACACGGCCCCGCAGGGCCCCGCGACACCCGGGCCGGCTGCCCCCGCGCCGCCCACGCCCGGCCCTGCCGCCGCTGCCGCTGCTGCCATCTTAGATCCGGCTCCAGGCCC